AGCCCGCCAAAACAACAATGATGGCTGCAACCAAAAAATAGCTGGGCATTGTGGCAGGCGCCTGTAGTCCCAGCTACTTGGAAGGCAGAGGCAGGAGACTCGCTTGAGCCCAGGAGTTGGAGGTTGCTGTGAGCTGTGATGCCACCGCACTCTACCCAGGGGGATAGCTTGAGGTTCTGTCTCAAAAAGAAAGATGGAGACTTTACGTCCTTCATGTTCACATGGATGGAGCTGTAAAATGTTCTTCTTAGCAAAGTATCACAAGAGTGGAAGAAAAAGTATCCAGTGTATACACTCCTATTATGCAATTAATTTATACCTTTTATATGAAAGCTATAACCAAATAGCCTAAGAATATGGGGAAGGGGGAGGGAGAAGGGAGGGGGGAATGGGTGGAGGGAGGGGGATTGGAGGGATCACATCTGAGGTTTATCTTACACGGGTACAAGTGAATCTTTCTAAGAGTAGAATATGAACATTTTAACACAATAACTAAGAAAATGACATGAAGGCTATGTTAACCAGTTTGATGGAACTGTTTCAAATTGTATGTGAAAACACCACACTGTACCCCAGAAGTACATTAATATACATAGTTAACATTCAATAAAAAAAAAAAACTGATTATGAGAGGCAGACTTTCATAATTAGTGAAATAACAATGAAAAAAAAGATATTTGCATGTTACAAATCTCACAAAGCCTTGGTAACTAGGATCTACAGAGAACTCAAATTAACCAACAAAAATAGAACAATCCCATCTATCACTGGGCAAGAGACATGAACAGAACCTTCTCTGAGGAAGACAGATGAATGACTAATGAACATAAGAAGAAATGCTCATGGTCTCAAATCATCAGAGAAATGCAAATCAAAACCACCGAGATATCACTCAACCCCAGTGAGAACAGCCCATATCACGAAGTCCCAAAGTTGCAGATGCTGGCATGGATGTGGAGAGACGGGAACACTTTCACATAGTTGGTGGGACTGCAAACTAATATAGCCTCTATGGAAAGAAGTATGGAGAATCCTCAAATAACTCAAAGTAGACACCCCAATTGATCCTGTAATCCCCTTACTAGGCACCAACCTAGAAGAAAAAAATCGTACTATCATAAAAACATCTGCACTAGATTGTTTACTGCAGCTCAATTTACAATTGCAAAGATGTGGAAACAACCTAAATGCCCAACCCAGGAATGGTTTAACAAACTGTGGTATATGTATACATGGGATACTATTTAGCCCTAAGATGGAGCCTTTACATCTTTTGTATTACCCTGGACGGAGTTGAAATACATTCTCCACAGTAAAGCATCAGAAGAATGGAAAACCAAATATCCAACATACTCAATACTAAAATGAAGCCAGCAGACAATCTAACATGCCCACAGAAGAGAAAAATTCAATTCAATTCAAGTTGGGGGGGAGAGGGAATGGGGGACAGAAGGACAGAGGGGAGGAGATTAGTGTGTACCCACTTAATGGGCACAATTTAAAGGCATATGGCACACCTTTTGGATACAGGACACAACTATAAGAGGGACTCCATCTAACAAATATGGTAACCTAGTTGTTTGTACCCTCATGTTAGCCTGAAATTTAAAGAAAAGTTTATAATTCAATCGTTGATTTTTCTTTTTACCTCCCAGAATTGCTACTGGAACTCTTTGAACCAACTTTTGAACCTTATACGCACTCAGTAAAGAGTCAGCATTCTGGCTCAGCGCCTGTGGCTCAACCGGCTAAGGCGCCAGCCACGTACACCTAAGGTGGCGGGTTCGAATCCCTAGCCCGGACCCGCCAAAACAACAATGACGGCT